TTACAGTTTAGTTCACACCACTAAATATAGTTTTCCTAATAATTTTGGGGTGAAAGCAAAGTTCTAGACCACTGTCTGCTTCCAGGTTGCACCCTTTCAAAACACCTCCATTGTCCTTAGTGTTGTATGGCTTCCATGGGCTCATTTACTGTGCACTACTAAGCAGTCGCACCCTTCTAAGTCCACTGAAGTCAACAGGTTTGGAAGGGTGTAGCTTTGATCAGGATTGCAATTAAAGTTTCAGCTCAATGATAAACCACACTCTTTTGTCTAGTGCAGCCACCATTTCACTTAACCCCATTGAAAGGAATGTTAAGTTCCAACTTGGCACCGTTTTCTAGAACTCCGCCCATCCATCCTAAGGAGAATTCCCCCAGGGTGGGTAGGGGAGATTATCACCATGGAGACTGGAACTGTGCTATTCTTCTGTTCTCCTTTCTCTCCTGCAGCCAAAGGACATCTTGAGACCTCCCATCTCGGGTCACAGAATCCTCTAACAACAGGTTCCATTGTGGAGGCTTATCTATATTTCTCAGCCATAACAGACACAACCACTCCTTGTAAAATGTTCCTAAATCTGGTTTATTTTGTTTTTTCTAATGCTTCCTGGTGAGCATGACAGCTGTTCATAACTTGTGACTACGTGACAATATGTTAAGTATGTAACAAGAGATCTTTCCAGCAACCGAGGAATGCTAATGACTTTAGTCTATATTCACATTCCTCTCCAAAGTTAACAATGTAAACACAGTACAGAGACACCCTTGGAGGTACTTTGTTGAACAATATGGTTGCAATGTCTGCTGGTGTCTGGATGGTGTAACAAGAGGCTTGTCTTTTAATGAAGTATGGTTTGGTTGCTAGATATATTACAGGCAAAGCAAATCAGAGTCACTGTTGAGAATATGAGTGGCTCCATGTAACTCTTGATAAACATATCCAAGTGCTCTCCTAATTTTGTAGCAGGCTTTGAGGTGCCAACCCTCCAGATGGGTCCTGGAGATCTCCCAGAATTACAACTGATCTTGAGACTACAGAGTTGAATTCCCCCTGGAGAAAGTGGCTGCCTTGGGAAAGGATTGCACAGCATTATACCCCACTGAGGTCCTTCGCCTATCCAAACCTCAGCCTCCCCAGACTCCATCCCCCATCTCTACAGGAGTTTCCCAACCTGGAGCTGGCAACCTTAACCCCTTTCCAAAATTCACCCTCTCCAAATAGCCAGGAATTTCCCAAACTCAGAGTTTGGCTACTCTGAGTTGCGTTAAATACTATTAGCAATAATAGTTATAGGCAATTATTATAACATTAATAACAACATAGAAGGAGGTTGAACAGAAAGGAGAAGAAAGAAAACTGCAATGATGTGAGTTTTCCCATACTGTTGCTACCACACGCTATTATTTGCACATTGCAGAGGTTTTTTTTAAAGCCAATGGCTTATCTGAAGCTATTAGGAGTTTATAGCACAGGAGAGATTTGAATTGGGATCCTCACAACTCATTTGCTCTGCCAACAATGTACATGTTTTCTGTGTATCATATCAAATTGTATACAGGCATCTTAAAAAGTACATAATTGTAAAGGAAGCAGGCCCAGGAAATAGAATAAATGGAATGAAGAAGAAGAAGAAGAAGAAGAAGAAGAAGAAGAAGAAGAAGAAGAAGAAGAAGAAGAAGAAGAAGAAGAAGAAGAAGAAGAAGAAGAAGAAGAAGAAGAAGAGATTGGATTTATACCCCGCCCTTCACTACCCAAAGGTGTCTCAGAGCGGCTTACAAACTCCTTTCCCTTCCCTTCCCCACAACAGACACCCTGTGAGGTGGGTGCGGCTGAGAGAACTCTGACACAAACTGCTCTTTTTCAAGAACAGCTGTGCCAGAGCTTGTGACTGACCCAAGGTCACATCAGCAGGTGCAAGTGGAGGAGTGGGGAATCAAACTGGGTTCTCCCAGATGAGAGTCCGCACACTTAACCACTACACCAAACTGGCTCTCAGGAAAGGCAGCCATTGAAATTCATAAAGAAAGGCAGGATAGGTATCAGGTGACTTTATGGTCTTATTTTGCAGCGGAGGTTTACCAGTCTCTCTGCTGGGAATTCAGCTTTTGCCATTGCTCACCAGGACAGCAGCAGGTGTGTCTGACTTGGATTTGATCAGACTTTGAAGTGGCATGGGAGTTCCTTTGGAGTCGCAAGGGAGAGGCTTTTGCAGTAGGAGCCTACCAAGATGTTTGTACTGAGTGGCAGCGCAATCCTAAACAGAATAAGGTTTATCGGCTTTCCGATCTCCAGGGGAAGCCTGCCTGGAGATCTCCAGGAAATACAACTGATCTTCAGATGACAGAGATCATTTTCCCTGGAGAAAATGGACTGCTTCGGAGGGTGGGCTCCACATCTCCCAAGGATATTATGATGGCCACTATGGTTTTATAGGGAAAATACATGTATAGGCAGAGGATAGGCCCCTCAATGGCTATTAACTATGATGAATAAATGGAACCTCCATGGTTAGAGGCAGTATATCTCTGAAGAACAGCTGCTGAGGGCAACAACAATGAGGCCCTGGCCCACTCACACAGGCCTTCCAGCAATATCTGGTTGGCCATGATGTGAAAGAGGATGTTGGACTAGATGGACTCTTGGTCTGATCCAGCATGGTTGTTCTTGTTCTTATGTTCATCTAACACATGTTTATTCTTATTCATGTTGATTTTTTATTGACATCCCATTTAGACCATCAGCCCAAACACAACAGTGATGGCAAGGAAGGCAGAGTTATGTTCTCTGCAGAGATTTACGTTCAAGTGAATTCTTTTGGTGAACGGATTCTTCAGGAATAATTACAGACTTGGTGCTGGAATTAGATGAGCCCCAGCAAGTACTCAGCAAGCTGGAGAATTGCCCGACCACTCAGATTACATTTTAATGCATTTGTATTGTACTGTTCCAGGAGTGCATTTCTGGGCATGTTACCAGGTAGCCAATAAGGTGGTTTAGCTTTACATTGTACTCTTAGAACAATAAGGCTCAAATGCTTCTGAATTCAGCCACAGTTCTGAGTGCGTGACCTTGAGGAAGTCACTTTGCTTCCCTTTTCAAATCAATGTGATGTGAAAAGGAAAGAAAACACGCTACCCCCCCCAATACCATAACGCCAATAAGACTCAACCCCAAGTCTTCTTTATCCAATTTCACTGTTTAAAACATACTAAATGCCAGATCACCAATTCAATTAGGGTTGCCAGGCCTCTGCCAGCAACCCCTGGGAGCATTTGGGGTGTGTGAGATGAGCTTTAGGGAGGAAAGATACCATGTAATGTGTTGATGTTACTTCCAGGCAAAGCCCCAGAAGTGACATCACTATGGTATAGTGACCTGCTAGGAATCCTATAAACTACAGAGATTTGGGGGATTCCTAGAGCACCACTCAGTGTGGTAGCATCTCTTCTGTTTCTTCATCCGGAAGTAATGTCAATGCATTGCATGACATTTCTCCTCCCCCCATTTTCCCTTTGCCACTCCCTTGAGCAGTGGCAGTGAAGAAAGGAGTGCTGGTGGGCGATCCGTCACTGGAAGTGGGTAAGTGGCAATCCTGTCACCAGTGCGTGTTCTCCATTTGCTCACCATAATATTGAGTGATTGTTTGCATGTATGAATGGGCTGTCACACATTTTGCCACTGACAGAATTTTCTTTTGCAGCATCACCTCAAAGGCACTTCTCACACCACTACATACTGTATAGGCTGAGCTACATGGTATGCAGAAGATGTATGACTCATCTCTTTACTGTAAAAAATGCCTAATTGGATCTTAATATTATAATATTTTAATGATTTATTGGTGTTTTTATTGCTCTGTTTTTCATTGTACATCACTTTGAAATGCAAATTCAAAATCCAGAAAATAAATAAATAAAATTGGAAGCTGCCAGTCTGAATCAAGAAATTGTGGACAGAGAGGTGGGAAGATGCTTCTTTGCCCATTCCCCTCATCCCTTTTGTCCACTCAAAACTACTTTTCTCTCTGCAAATGAAGATACATAGGCTATGTCACCTCCTATCCTTTGCCATGAGTTGGATAGCCCAAGCTAACCTGATCTCCTCCGGTCTCAGAAGCTAAGCAGGGTTGACCTAGGTCAGCATTTGGATGGGAGACCTCCAAGGAAGTCCAGAGTTGCTACCCAAAGGAAGGTGATGAACATCCCTTGCCTTGAAACCCCGGGGGGGGGGGGGGGGACATTGCCATAAGTCAGCTGAAACTTGCCTGCAAAAAAAAAAAATCTCTCCCCACCTGTGCCTAGGAAACTTTCTGGTCTGAGATGGTTTTGATCAGGAAAGAGTTATCCCCTTCCACCTGGCTCCCCCCCCCCCCCCCCCCCCGCTCACAGTTTTTAATGCTACTTTTCAGGTTTGTTTTTTTTAAAAAAAGAGAGAGCGAGAGCTGGGAGATTGCTAATGTGCCACCCATGTACCGTATAGGTTTCGTCTGTCTAGTTCACACATTTAGCTGTCATTCCTCGTCTATGGATCAATCAAAGTCAGTGAAGCAGGCTCCAGACTTACTGATGGACTCAAGTAAGCCACTTCTCCTGTCACTGCCTCAGTGCCTCCCTAAGAATCAACAATGGAAAGCTGAGACCGTGATATGTACGCTTAATAAGATAAAGATTAGTTTAATTGTGCAAGACTGTGCCACAGTATTGCTTCGTTCTCTCTGACCTCATCTGTAATAATCCACTTCATAGCCTGAAGCACTGTGGCTGACAGGTCTCTGGAGCAAACCGTTCCTTGGGAAAGCCAGGGAGCCTGTTTGCTCTTGCCTGAGAGCACCATCAAAAAGCCGCTCCGAAGTCTCTTAGCCGCATGGTTGAAACTGAAGTGTCCTGTTTCCATTTTTTTTCAGGTCGGCTCATAGAAGAAAGCTCTCGGGTCTCGCTCGTTCCTCTTTCCTGACGATTCACCGCTGAAATAAAACAATGTGTCTTTGTATTTCTGCTTAGATGGTTCCCTATATTTCTGAAAGGAGTGTCCTGAGCTGACAGAGGAGAAAAACTGCTAAGTCCTGAAGTTTCCAGTCTAAAGGAGCTTTTGAGCAAGAAATCGTCGTGTGGATGGTGTCGTCTGGATCCTAGATCCCACTGTCACTCTTATCATGAATGTTTGTGAAATCCCACCAGAAAATAAGATGTCTCTTCCAAAAATCCAGATTGAAGAAATGCTGGACAGTGTGGATTACGAGACTGGAGATGGGCCTCCTTCTGATGACCACCTGAGGAATCTGAAAGCTCTGACAGAAAAACTGAGGCTGGAGACGAGGAGGCCTTCTTATTTGGAGTGGAAGGCCAAACTGGAAGAGCTGACATGGAGGAGCCGCCCCCAGCCCCCTGAGGAAGCTGAGGAAAGCCAAGGCAGGAAGCAGCCGGAGGAAAGTGTGCCTACTCGAGAGGTGCAGGTACATATCAATGGGACTTCTTCCAAAGAGCAGGTGATGCTCGCTTCAAGAAAAATCGGTGGCTTTGAGAACATTGACGAAGCTTTAAATTGGCTAAGGAAAGAACTGGTAAGTACACTGTTAAATGGGTCCCTGACCAAGTTTAATAATTCGTTATAAAGGACAAAAAAAGTGGCATCTCATTTTGGTCACTAAGCCATAGAAATAAAAAGGAGTCTTGTGAGCAGCTTAAAGGCTAAGGCTACAATCCTAAGAACGTGTTCTTTGAACTATGCAGCACTGAATAAAATGGGGTTTACTTCTGGGTAGACCTGTTTAGGATTGCTCTGAAAGAGATTAAGGCCGCAATCCTAAACAGAGTTATACCCTTCTAAGTCCATTTATTCAATTTAAGGTGTCACTGGCCGTCTGTTTTGTTTTGCATAAATGAGTGTATGGACTGCACTGTTAATGAAGCTGAAGCTTTTGTGAGCTAGAGTCCACTGCATTAGATGCAACATGACTACTCCACTGAAATCTGTCCCAGGTGCAAGCCACTCCTTTCTTCTTTCTTTCCTTTCCCAAAGAGTAGCTTTGCAATTCTGGAGAAACCAGTACCGAAATCTCCTCCTAAGGAGCACTCTTTTCCAGTGCTGAAGGGTACACACACTATGTGTTCTCCCTGCACCTCATATTCCGTGCCCTCTGATTGGAAAAGCTAGCCTCAGGAAGATGGTTTTGTAATGCTTTGGGGAAATGTGCAGGCTCAGACTTTGGAGCGTTCCCACCCTGTGGTTTGGCACTTTATCCTCACTATCTACTTTCATTATTTATTTATGACAATATTTATATGCCGCTTTTCTATGCCAGGCATGCCCAAAGCAGCTCGTAAAAGTTAATAAAAGATTTAAAACTCTGGCCATAAAACCACAATAAAATAGTAACCACCTGAAAACCAGGAGTAAAATGCTTGCTTGAAGACCCTCCAGAACAGCTAGGCCTTCAGTAGATCCCAGAAGGCCTACAAGACAAATTAAACTCCTGAGGGGGAGAGATCCACATCTTGAGTGTGTCAGGTGAGAGGACCTTCTTCAGCTGGGTTAGAGATGTCACTTACCTGCTGGGAGCAGGAGAAAGGGCTCCACCACAAAATGGCCGCCATGGGAGGCACAACAAGTCACAAAATTACCTCTGTGAGAGGGCAGTTGGACAATGCTTGCAGGTTCCAAGTCAAGCAGCCTCCTATGAGGCAGGGAGCTGTTTCTGAATGACTGCTCCCTGCAGACCCAAAGGTGATGATGCCTCCTGGTTGGTTTTTTTTTTAAGCAACTCCTGGCTTTTTGCTTTGAAGAAGGATATGAACACCAGGAAATACATCAGTGGGTGGGCAACATGGCGGCCACAGGCACCTTATTGGGAATCACGGTCTTAGAGTATGGGCAGGAACATATGGGTGGAGGCCGTTCTCCAAGTCCTTTGGAGTCAAACAGTTAACAGCTTTAAGAACCTGTGTGATGCAGTGAGGGTTGGACTAGGAGCTGGGAGTCCCAGGATTCCTATCCCCAGACTGTCAAGAAATTCCCTGGGTGACCTTGGGCAACTCACTGTCTCAACCTAACTTACCTCACATGGTTGTTGTGAGGAAAAGGCAGTTATGGAGTGCCAAGTTCCATGCAGGAAGGGTGGGATAAAAACAGGTACCGTTCTAAAGGTAAAAACCAGCACTTCGTACTCATCCTAGAAACACACATGAAGTCAGTGCAGGTGGTAGAATATTTGGTTTGATATGTTCACTGCATTTTTTTAGTTTACAGATATTTTAGGTAGGAAGGTGAAATTTAGGTTACCAGTGGACTCTGTGCTGGTACACAGTGCTGCTACCGAGACAGACCATTGGTCGGTCAGGGTCAGTCTTGTCTGCTGTGATTGGAAGAAACTCTCCAGAGTTTAGAGTCGAGGTATTTCACAACAACTATTACCCGACCCTTTTAATTGCAGATGCTGGGGACTGAACCCAGGACCTTCCACATGTAGAGCAGATGCTCTACCATTGAGCTGTGGCCACTTCCTTGCAGCAGTGCCACATGGAGGTCTCTTTTAATCACTGCACATGACAGTGATTGTCGCATGATGACTCCCCCTGTGGTATTCTGAATTTGGTTGTAAATAGGCAAAAGGGGGGGGGAGGTTTGGCTGTGGCATGGATTAAAAAAATCCACCTGATCTAAGAGGTGAATAACTGCACCTATGTGGGCAACAATAGCTTATACAGCCTCAGCAACTCTGTGTCTCCGTTTCCAATCGATGTTAATGCCTGCCATGATTACTTGCAGCTTAGCAAATAGTTGCAAATAAAGGCTGTTATTATATTGCCGACTTCTGTGGCTTCAATAGAAATGCTGACCGGGACACTTAGCCTAGTCTGAAAAGAAGGAGTTGCAAATATTTTAACTTTCTGCACATACTCGGATGTCTTTGAAGAACAGAATCAAAGAAAAAATGTGTAACATAAAAGGTTGGCAATTGAACCAATATTGTAAGAAGTGCAAGTGATTAGTTACTGAACAAAACAATCTTCATTTTAAATATACGCTGTGGGGGGGGGGGGGTCTAAAGTGGCCAAGACTGAGAGGAAAAGAAATCTTGGTATTATAGCAAATAACTCGATGAAAAGGTTGACTTGGTGTGCAGCAGTGGTGAAAAAGGCAAACTCTGGTCCGGGGATTAGGAAGAAAGGGACTGAAAATAAAATAGTCAATACTATAATGCTCCTGTATTGATCTGTGGTGTGTCCTCATCTCTCCTTATATATAATTGAATAGTGGGTGCCAAAGTTCTAATTCTAAAATGCACTCCCTTAGTGTATGGCTGATGGCACTGCTCCTCAGCATATATCACCACCAATCAGAAGGCAAAGCCCGGGTCCCGCCCACACAACTGCTGCGACAACTTGGTCTTTTGCATGTGGAAGCTGATTGGACTTCACTCCATTCCACACCTCAAACTCCCCCCCCCGCAAGGCAGTTGGAATGTCAGTTGCATATGGAATCTGCTGTATTCTGGTGGTGTGCAGGTCCCAGATTCATGTTTTAAAAGCAGACTGACACTGTTTGCCCAAAGCCAGAGCACTCTCCCAGAGCCTCTTTCTAGATCTCGTTGTATTAATTTCCACAACGGACCTTATTTCTAGTTTGGAATAAAGTGTACAGTTCTGTATGTCAAAAAAAGAGAGATTGCAGAGCTGGAAAATATGCTGAAGAAGGCATCCAAGATGACTAAGGGTTTTTTTTATGGCAGTACTAGAGCTCAGGCACCCAATTAAGTTGATGGACAATAAATTCAGAACAGGGAAAAGGAAACTGTGGGATTCTGTGCCCGTGGATGTATTGATGGTTATAAGTTTAGATTGCTTGAAAAGGGCATTAGGCAGATTCATAGAGGAGAGGTCCATTTCTAGAAAAGGGTACTTCCATATCCAGAGGAAGCAAACCTCTGAATGCCAGTGCTGGGAGGCAACATCAGGGAAAAGCTTAGTCTTTATGTCCTGTTGGTTGACCCTCTGGGGCAGCTGGTTGGCCACTGTGTGACACAGGATGCTGGACCAGATGGACCACTGGTCTGATCCAGCAGGGCAACCCTTCTTGTGAAGGTGCCTTTAAAAAGGGCAGAACAAGATCCCATTCTTGAAAGAAAGAAAGAAAGAAAGAAAGAAAGAAAGAAAGAAAGAAAGAAAGAATCTCTGCAAAGGCCAAGTTCACAGACCAGAATGCAGCCTTCTGTATCCCACAGCTAGATCTGTGCATATTCTCAGAGGAGATTTCATTATGCAAGAAACTTGCTATTTATCGCAGATGCTAGAAACTGGAACATCAAGTCCGAAGGAGAAATGGGCTTCAGCTCTGGCATCCTTCCCCACATTGTAGCTGTAATCCTTTTGTCAGCCATTACAAAGCTTTGTCTTTTAGCCTTCACGCTCCTATCATCTGGAACAGTTAAAAAACAAAACCAAATGGATCTCCCCTCCCTCCCTTTTGATTTTACTAGTAAAAAAAGAGACCCTTCTCACCCTGAGAGCAGCAAATAAAGCCAGAAAAACGCTTTATCTTCCTGGGAAAGTTTTGTTGCTTTGGGGGCATAGCGACCAGAGAACTGATCATTTATTAAAAAAAAAAAAAAAGTACAGTCCCTTTCAGGGTAAAAGCTGTGCTTTTAAGACCATAAAAACGTAAGCATTGTCTTGATGGATTAGTTCAGGATCCATCTAGACCAGTATTCAGTTTTCAGCTGAGTTCTGTTGCCCTCACAAGTATGGCATGAAGATAATAGATCTCCCCAGGTTGTTGGCATGCAGACGTATACAGTCTGTGCTCATGGACAGCTCTCGTGGAGAATAGACCAATCCTTTGTGCCTAGAAGAAATTCCAGTGGCTGTCATTTTGTCTCAGCGCAGAAATATATATTCCCCTATAAGGTCTGTTCAGGGGAAGGCAGGCAAAATTGCAGTCTGCTCCAGTCCTTCCCAAGGTGCCTCAACCCACTACCAAGAGAATGAGGACTGCTTCTCTTGAAACCTAAGGAAAATATTTAAAATATGAAAAACGAATAATGAATCATGTCACTGAATCAGTAGCAGCAGCTTGGGGAAAAATTATTTGTTGGGAGTAGGTAGCAGTAAGAAAGTATAAAGTAGATTATTTTGTCTCAAGCCAGAGATGGCCAAATAGAAATAAATGTGTCCTATTAGCTGTTACAACACCTTATTTATTTATAAATTTCACATTGAAATCAGTGTAAAGGGGTTTCTAAACAGCTTTAGTCCCCATTCCACTCTGCCACTTCATAGGCCAGTATGGGAGAAATGGGGGGGGGGGGTGCAGCGTCACACCAACAATCTAAGTCACTTCCAACGCAAACCAGTTTTCCCCTGGAAGTGGCGTTACGTGACACTGGTGAGACTGTTCCCACTCCCAGCTTCCCCTGGCACATTGCTGGCTGTGGCTGGCAACCCTGTCAGGTTCTGAGGTCATTAGGGGAGGGGATTTGCTGCAGAAATGTATTCAGAGATTCATATTGGAGGGCTTCCAAGGAGGACTTTGGTGGCCCCTGCCCCTAAACTATGTTACTCCTTCTGTAAGGGGTAGGGTTGCCAACTCCCAGCTGGGACATTCCTGGAGATTTGGGAGTGGAGTCTGGAGAAAGTAGCATTTGGGGAGGGATTTCATAGAGTCTGCCCTCAAAAGCTGCTGTTTTCTCCAGGGGAACTGATCTCTGTAGTCTGGAGATCTGATGTCATTCCAGGAGAACTTCGGGCCCCACCTAGAGGCTGGCAACCCTAGTACTCAGGAGGTACAATGAATGTCATTGCTACTAAGAATCCTATTCAGGTCATTTTAACAGGGCTTACTCCTGGGAAAGTGACCTGAGCATGGGATTGTATGTTGCCTTTCTTTTGTGAGTCACCCTGGGTGCTGGCAGGACTCTGACTTCCTTGCCTCAGCTTCTACAGTTCTCACTGATACCTTTCCAGATTTCAAAGGCCTGTTCCTGGCTGCAGCTCTCTCTCAGGCCTCTTCTTTCTCTTTCCCCTCCTTTGTCCCTATCAAAGACTTGCCTGTGTCAAGACCGAGCAGGTACCCAGTCTAAGGAGCCATCACCGTAACTCCTGGCAGTAAATTTTATGCATATGAAGCAGTTCTTTCTTTTGTCTGTCCTGAATCTACCGTCCTTCCATTTCATTAATTGGCATCAGTAGTGTACCTGTGCAGATAAGACAGAAGGAAGTGGTGAAGGCTTTTTCGGGCTAGCCACTTCTATATGGATTCCAACAACCACTGTAGACCTTCAGATCAGATCCAGCCATAGCAGGAACCTCCCAAATGCATGATCATAGAATCATAGAATGTTAGAGTTGGAAGGGATCTTGTAGGTCATCTAGTCCAACCCCCTGCACTCTGCAGGAGCATAGCTGAAAGATAGCCCTACATACCTACAACATACCCGAAAGATGGTCATCCAACCTCCGCTTGAAAACATCCAGTGAAGGAGCATCCACCACCTCCTGAGGCAGACTGTTCCACTGCTCAACCACTCTTACAGTTAGGAAGTTTCTCCTGATATTTAGCTGGTAACGACTCCCTTGTAATTTCCACCCAGTAGATTTAGTCTTGCAATCCGGAGCAAAAGAGAATAGATCTGCTCCATCTTCTAAATGACAGCCCTTCAAATACTTGAAGACTGCAATCATGTCCCCTATAAGCCTTCTCTTTCCCAGGCTAAACATACCCAACTCTTTCAGCCTTTCCTCATAAGACTTGGATTCCAACCCTCTCACCATCCTGGTTGCCCTCTTCTGGACACGCTCGAGCTTGTCAACATATTTCCTAAAATGTGGTGCCCAAAACTGGACACAGTACTCCAGGTGAGGCCTGACCATAGAATATCACTCCCCACTTCCCACGCTCGAGCTTGTCAACATCCTTCCTAAATAGGGTTGCCAAGTCCATCTTCCACCCCCAGCGGGGGACTTTGGGGGCGTTCCTGGAGGGGGTGGGGCATCTCCAACGTGATGACGTCACGTTGGGGACATCTCCCCCCCCCGGCGTGCGCCGGATCTCCAGAAACGCAGGTTCCCTGCACTTAAAGTAGCCGGCAGCTGGCATTTCCCCTTTAAGACCAGCTGCGTTTCCCTTTTAAGAACGAAGCTGGATTTTCCCTGCAAGCTTGTGGAGTTCGCGCTTGGGATAAAACACGGGTTGCACACGCTTAAAGGGAGAGAGATGGGTGGCTGTGGGTGTCACTCCCCACTCACAAGTGGTCACCATGTTGTCTGAGCAGGAGTAACTTACATATTTTGCATGTGTATGCAGCTTTGGCACATAGGAACTGACCCAGGGGTTTTTCAGAGTTCTGCTTCTAACATACTGAAGCTGTGTGCACGTACAAAATATGCATGTTGTCTATGCATATAACAACATAGCAACCACACATACCAGGAAGAGCAAGATTCAACTCCAGTAGCACCTTAAAGACCAACAAAATTTCCAGGGTGTAGGCTTTTGAGAGTCAAAGCTCCCTTCATCAGACGAAAGGAAATGAAGGGAGCTTTGTTTCAGAAGGGCAGTTTGATCACATTAACAGAAGATGAGACTCACTGGAACAATGTTAGGAAAAGTTGAAGGCAGCAGGAGAAGAGGAAGATCCAACATGAGGTGGATTGACTCAGTCAAGGAAGCCACAACCTGCAAGACTTGAACGAGGCTGTTAATGAGAAGACTTTTTGGAGGTCATCAGTTCATAGGGAGGGAGGGAAGGCGGCATAGCATAGCCCAGTCTCATCATATCTTGAAAGCCAAGCAGGGTCAGTACTTGGAAAGGAGACCTCCAAGGAAGACTCTGCAGTGGGAGGCCACGGAAAACCACCTCTACTTCTCACTTGCCTTGAAAGTCCCTTGCGGTATTTGTCATAAATCAGTGGTGACTTTATGGCACTTTACACACACACACACACACACACACACACACACACACACACACACTTCATAGGGTTGCCATAAGGTGGAAGCGACTTAACACACACAAACAGCTTTGACTTTCAAAAGCTTACACACTGGGAATCTTGTTGGTATTTAAAGGGCCACTGGACTCAAACCTTGCTCTTCTACTGCAGACCAACACGGCTGCCCACCTGAAATTATCTTTGTGTGGTTAGGAGGCTCTGTTACTAAAATAACCCACAATTCATGGTTCAGTAGGTGAACAATGGCCATCTCGCTTTCATTGGGCAGGGCTGCAACACCAAGCCTTCACTCCACGACTGTGGGTTGGTCGGTCTCTGTCACATCCCTTTCCTCTTTTGCCTCCAGATGGAAATGCGTCTCCAGGACCAGCAGCTGGCTCGGCAGCTCATGCGCCTGCGCAGTGATATCAATAAGCTCAAGATCGAGCAGACGTGCCACCTCCACCGGCGTATGTTGAACGATGCCACCTACGAGCTGGAGGAGAGGGATGAGCTCTCTGACCTCCTCTGTGACTTCCCACTCACGTCCTCCTTCAGCCTCTCCACCCCGCTCAAGCTCATTGGCGTGACAAAGATGAACATCAACTCCCGGAGGTTCTCACTTTGTTAGAGGGGGGGGGGTGGCGTGCAAGAAGTGGGTTTGGTGGGAGGAGCTCATCAGAGAGAGGCTCCTTGTTCCTTGGTGTGGCTGGGAGGCTCATGAGGGAGCAGCAAAAGACGAGGGAAGAAAGGGAGAAACACTCACGACTGCTCTTCCACCAGGCCAATATGGCTGGGGCATGGGGATGGGTAAAGATCTCAGGATGTGCCTCAAGGATCAATACTAGAGACTGATGGTCTTGCAGTCAGAAATATGCCCATGATTGCCCTGGAAGAAGTGTTTAAGAGAAAACAGCTGAGGAAGTTTCCCAAAATTAAGAGTGAAGCAGGAGAAACACAGCCCTGCTCCATTGTTAAAGCTTTCTGGCCCACTTCAGGTCAGGCAGGGTAGTGGTGAGCAATGCATATTGCTGCGGCGATGAGACACACTCCAGTGGAGAGGATCCCTCTAAACAACAGCATCAAACAATTGCATGGCAGAGACATCTAGTAATCAGCCAGCGGTAGAACCTCCATTTTCAGATGCAGAATGCAGATGCTACAGACAAGCCCCAGCAGATGGCAGTCACCATCTCACCTTAATTTTGAACTTCCCAGAACCATCTCTCTGGGTAATGATGGAGACTGAGGGCCAAACTACAAATGACAGTGGGTCCGGGGGGGCTGTTTCTGCACCTGAAAAGGTGGGGGTGAGGTGGGGAGACAAGAATTCCTGGAACCACTACATGCCCGATCCAGATCAGGGCCGCATGGAAATTGTAAAAACCCCAACTACTACAAATGCTACAATGGACCTGTGCCTGCCATCACTTGCAGTTTGGCTCTTAGTTCTGGATTAGGTAGAGTTTTGATCTGATCCAGCCTCCTGATTTATACGCTCTTAATCCCAAAGATATGCATGTGGTGCTGGACCTCCAATTATGCAGAGTCACTCACTGCATATACACTCATGTGCAACAACTGTGCACACACCTACACGTATCTAGTAGGGCAGTCAAGACACCAGACAAAATAAAAAATGCCCTGCCTCATTTGGATGCAAGGCCAGAGTTCTGTCTCCCCTTAGCCCTTTTTGGGAAGCTGTATCCTTACTGGGCCCTGCTCTTCTAAAAGCCACTGTGCCCCATTCTCAAACCTGCCTCTGGGTGCACAACCCCAGTCGAGAGGGCTTCACCTCCAGGCTCCACCCAGATTCCCACATTTTTCCTTTCAAGAGATGGCAAATTTCATCCCCACGCTCCATGGCCTTCCCTCAATCCTCCCTCAAACGTGTGCATTGTTGCCTGGATCCTCAGGCCTCTGTCTGAACTGTGATCTTTTGTTTAAAGATGAAGTGTAATATATGTTTATGGCATAAGGTAGCCAAAGAATAATGTGATAGGGTCCAAATGCGCCTTGCCAGATAATCATCCCCTTTCCTTCAAGGATTCCCCATCACAATCAGCTGCACTGCCCACCGCAGTATGCTAAATGATCTCAATATCCCCCCATCCCTCGGGCTGCCACATGCATGTCCCAGCTGTATAAGTACAGGGCATGTTGCCTGGAACCTGCTTGACTGCCCTGATTCCCAGATGCCATTTTTTAAAAAGCAAGTCTTTAACCCTTGCAGGGGAGGGAAGGCAGTATGGTATAGCCCGGTCTCATCCAATCTTGGAAGCTAAGCAAGGTCAGTACTTGGGTGGGAGACCGCCAAGGAAGACTCTGCAGAGGAAGGCAAGGGCACACCACCTCTGCTTCTCACTTGCCTTGAAAGCCCCTTGCTGGAGTCACCGAAAGTTGATTGTGACTTGAGGGCACTTATGTATGTAACACCTTCCAGATCCATAGATACCATGCAAAACAGACAGGCAACATACTACTCAATTCAAAGTGAGAAACAAGCCTGCTCTAGGACTGCCAAGTGGGGGTGGGGGGTGGGTAAACCCCCGCTTTGGAGGCCCGATTTCCGCTGCCGCAGAATCGGGTCCCGGGGTAACTCCGCCCCCCGAAGCGCAGCGTGGCTGCATCACCAGAGGTGACGCAACCACATTGATCACGTTGGGGGTGTGGCCCCGATCGTCGGAGGGAAAACTCTATGGTTTTCTCTCCGACAATCAGGGCCACGCCCTTAACGTGATCGACGTCGCACGTCACTTCCGGTGATGTGCTGGCGGCGCGTGTGCGCTTTGCGCGTGCGCTACAAGGGCCGGCTCCTGGAGCGCGGTGAGGCTCCTCCGCCGGTGAGTTAAATTCACTTGGCAACCGTAGCCTGCTCCCACCTACCCTTGTTCTAGCTAGTGTGGGAAGTCACGGCTGTGATGGAGATACTCACTACATCTCTTCCTGTTGTGGTCTGAAAAGAAAGAATCAGCAAATCCTAGCAAAATGGTTGGGGGAAAGACGTTTTTCCTTGTGATCGTGCCAGCAGCAAGCAGAGCAGCTGGTGGATGAAGTAAGTAGTAATGTGCTTGATTTTGTATAATAAACAAACATTTTGCAATAGATGACAAATTAGGTAACCTGGATTCATGGGACTGAGCTGTGGCAAGCCATTCTTCTGCCATGTAGACCTTCTTGGACTGTGGCTTTCTTAACTGATTGGACCATTCATAGGCTGCAGTAAGAAGGCAACGCCCCAAAGAGTTTAATCTGCCTGGCAGTTGAGAAACAGTGCAATCACATTCATTGTCTTCGATAAAGTTTGCATTGCTCGATTTATTTTGCTCTTGCAGAAGGGCAAATAGCTGTGCCTATGTCATTAGATACACAAACCCATGCAAATTGTTCCTGAGTTTGCACGTATGCACCTGTATCTGCTGAATTGGGGGGGGGGGGATTATTGTTCACTGACATTTAGTTTTTTTCACTTTGAACAATTAAAAAGAAAACATTTCTTTTAGATAAAGGGGGGGGGGGAACTGAAGTGAAGAATTCAATAAACCATTAAAATTGAACTTGTTTCAGTCTTTTTTCCTTGAGGCTGTGTTGCTAAGATTTCCTGTTGTACTGTTGTTGAAATGATATTCCTAACTACAGAAATAGTGCTATATTCTCCACCCTGTTGAGAATGAACTCTGTATACCTGAAGTTTCCTTTGATTGCACCAAGCTAGTGGTTCATCTAGCTCAGCACTACCCATTCTGACAGAGGGCAGCTCTCCAGAAGCCTCAGGTAAAAGTCTTTGCCAGCCAGCCCTCTTCATACCGGTGACTGAACCTGGAGACTTCTGCATGCATAGCACACACTCACCCACTGAGCTATGCAGCTTCTCCAGCCTTCTGTCTTGACAGCTGTCTGAATGTTCATATAGAAAGCCTCTTGAATATCAGCTGCACAGGCTGCTCAGAATCCAGTACTCCAAGCAAAGGGAAATGCTTTTAATACATGACATGTGATGGAACTGCCTTATACTTGTTGGTAGAGTTATTAACACACCAAAGGTACACAACCTGATTAAAGTATAGATAAAGGTTTATTTAGGAACTAACATACTAGATAGTAAAGAGGAGAGACACAGATAGGGTCCTAACTACACCTCTAGCTGAGAGAGAGGGTAGACTAAGGCTGTGGTCACACTAGCAGCTTGGCGCAATATGGTGCCACTTCTAATTGTACCGGTTTAAAGTGTTGTGGGACATATCATCCAGACAGCACACCCTGCTGCGGGTTACCCACACAGACATCCTGTGGTCAAGCATCCACATTATTGCAGCGCCTCAGCCACGGAGTGCGCTGTCCGAAAAGTTTTCAGAATGCATGCGCGCATATGTGCTCCCAGGGCTGCCAATCAAGCTATGGACAACAGCTGTGGGAGTTTCTCAGGCTCTTCACCCCCAGTGTTGCCTAGGAGTTGATTGAATCGGCGCCAGGCTGTCTAGGGTCTTTTTCCATGCATACCTGGAGCTCCACAACTGTGTATATTGGGAGCTTTTACTACTCATGGATTTCCCAATGCTTGCAGTAGCCATGCTGTCTGAACTCGGGAACATTCATATTTTGCATGAATGTAGATTCAAGTGGGTAGCCGTCTGTAGCAACAGAACAAAGTTTGAGTCCAGAAGCACCTCTAAGACTACACAAAAGCTTATACCTAGAATTAAACTTTGTTGGACTTAAAGGTGCCACTGGACTCAAATTTTGTTTGTTTTGCATGCATGCAGAATGTTGGAGTGCGCAAACCGGAACCCTGAGAAATCCACTGGTTGGTTCATGTGTACTGAAATTGTATGCACATACAAACTACATGTGTCTCCCCTGTTCAGATAACATGATGACTGTGCATACTAGAATGATCTACACATGGCTGGGAAGCTCCTGGTACATGCAGATGCAACATCTGAAAAAGTTTGTTGTGTTGGATCATATCTATGCTTTGTAGGCCATCTGAGTACAGGGGGGTAAAACTAGGTCATGGGAGGGTAAACTCAGGAACTCAGATGGTAACCACACCGGACTTCTAGAGACTGTAGTGTCAGTGTGCAGATCTGGTATTCTCTGCAGACCACAAATTGCAGATCACCGTATTTCCACTCCTTGGGTGGCCTGAGACATACCACTTTCTCAGCCCCACTTCATCTCTCATTTGTAATCTGAGAATAATAATTCTGGTTTACTTTACAAGATAGATTTTTGCAAGGATAATTGAAGTTCAGCATGTGGAACACTATTACTTTGCAAACGTAAATGATAAATAGTAAATTAAAATAATTTTTAAAAACCCCTTTTAAAAAGTTTCATAGAGGCCAGTGCATGGATTCTAGAAAAAGAAACTCAAAGGACTCAGTGTTGAAAGTGAAGGATGATGCAACCTCTCTTTGCAACAGGCATGACAGTACTGCAGAGTGGTGGCAGCAGAATGATGCAAGGCAGACAAGTCAAATCCTTCCGTCTTGAGCCAAAAGGAAAGGTGTGGTGTGAATATTTTGATAAATAAAACTCTTATAGCCCCCATCGTATTGCATTCCCACTATGGTGGGAAGCCTGCTGCTGACAGCCCTTGTTACTCATTGCTGTTCCAAGTGGCAACACTGCATCACAGTGTCACTTCTGG